CAAGTGTGGGTTGGGTGGCCCAGGTCTCGAGAAGTATAAAACACACATCAGCTAAGCGGAGCCCTGCCCACAGTGGGCGTGGCGTGCGTCGAAATGAAGTGTACTGACGACCGAGATTTTTTCAATTCTCTTGGAAAACAGCCTCGAAACTGGAAAGAAAAGTAGGGTAAGGTGTGTATTGGTAAGTCTGATCGAATCAGAGAGAGCCGCCCCCGGTGTGCGGGGCGCTCTCCAAAAAGCAGTGCTTAACAAAAGGATTGATAACTTGGTTGGGAAAAGGCCTACAGAGCAGAAAACAAATTGGTGTAGGGGAGCAATGTCTAAGGTGCTCCCAGCATACATGGCGTGCGCGGAGGCTATAGTGGGCGGGGCGTGAGATGAAGAGTACAGCGTTTTCTACAAGTCCACATGATTCGGGCCGGGGAAGTCTAGATGAGCCGGAAAAAGGTAGATGGAGGTGGGTGGAGGAGGGAAGGCTACGTGTCATCGGTGGGCGGGGCATGACTAAAGTGGGCGGGTTTGCGACGGAAATCCATAACTCGGCTCCAAGAAGTCCCGGAGACCGGAAAGAAGGTGGATATAGGTGGGTGGAAGAGTGGAGCCCATCCGTCGTCGGTGGCGGGGCACGACCAAAGTGGGCGGGGTTTGCGACGAAAATCCATACCTCGGCCCCAAGAAGTTCCGGAGACCGGGAAAAAGGTGGATGGAAGTGGATGGAGAGAAGGAGTTCGACTGCCCTTGGCAGTCAGTGTTTGCATCAAAGTGGGCGGAGCTTGCCAGAACTTCATAACTCTGCCAGAGCGCCTACAGCGTAAAGGAAGGGTTCTGGGACAACTCTCTGACGTGACGTCTCAATGAAGATCTGCATATCATGAAAGACCTCAACGGTCACATCAGCGCAAAGAATGGTTAGTGCGGATATACACAAGAACAATTTGCTCACAGCACGAAAAACGAAAACGTGAACGAGTCTTTCAAACACCAGTGGATGACATCCGACAGTTCTCTGCCATGGTTTCGGTCCGTCACGGATCGCTTCTGTCATCATCACTCTTCTCTACCAATCCCGTGGCTATTTTATAATATATGCTGATGCTGTGCTCCTATGTAGTAGACCGGTCAAAGTTGAAATTAGAGAGGCGTGCCAGTTGCTGGATGAGACACTTGAGGGCCATGGACTCGGGCTCAACATCAACAAAACAGGTGCTTGCGCACGACGGCGACAACGTCTTCAACGATGGTGGGCATAAAAGCTACACCCAGCAGGGTCACCTGTACACTCAAATATTAGAAGCGGTGTTCGCATTTGCGATTTGAGAGTGGCGAACTCAGGGTTAACCATGGTTGACCATCTTTTGCAAAAGTGCAAACCGGAGGACTGCAATTGTAAAAGTGAAGGGAACGAATGCGGAAGAGGGAGTCGTTGTTGATGCTGTTATCGTTTCTGACGATTTTGGTGAAATGTAAAGGAAGGAACGTGATAGACAAATCAAAGGATTTGCCATTTTGCTGTAGAAACAGCCACGGCAGTGTAAGGGTGACGACCATTGGGGGAGTCGTACTGACAGACCGCTAAGGTCAAAGGTGGTGGTGGGAGGACGTACAGTAGCGCACAAAAGTATTCGGCCATAGCTTTCCCTATGCTAAATCAAATCAGTTTACTTTTTGATGTTTCAGAGGCAAACCTTCTTCACTAAGCAAGTGCATTATTGTTGAATCTTCTTCTTCTCCTTAGCGTTAGTCCCGCGCAGTCGCAGGGTCCCATGAAGTGGTGGAAGATGAAACGGGTTCATGCCACCGTGCCGAACTAGAGATCTCCACACCGCTCAAACGTTATCTCGAGCGACAAATGTTTTTTTATGATGTTTTTCGGGGACAGCAATAGGCAGAGTTTTGATCCAAAGAATCAACTGAGCGTCGAGCGTCGCATCCCAACTGTGAAGGAGTGGTTTCGCCAGCATGGCGTGCTTATAACAGAGCGACCAACTCAGTCACAAGCCCTAAGCGTCATCGAAACACTGTGGTAAAAGGAGGGAAGTAGAGCCAGGAATGTGGAAGAGTTGTTTGTGAAAATGAGGAAAAGTTGGGAGGTTGTCCCAATAGACCGTGTTAGCAGTGATTGATTCCACACTTAGACCTTGTCGAGGTTTCAACAACTGCAAAAGGTTATCAAGAAAGTATTGAGTCTGCTCAATGCTCTCTATTATGTGGTACATTGTGTTGTTGAATTAGCTTTTCACAATAAATTTAAATTTACTTGGAATTTGGTCGTCCTCGAGAATTTCTAGTGTAATAACTTCTTCTCTCTAAACTCTTTCTCCCATTCAACAAAACACACTGCTCAGTGAAGAAGGTCTGCCTCTAAAACATAACAGCAGTTGAATGATTTGATTCAGCAGAGAGAAAGCTATGGCCGAAATAGCATTTGGCCGAATACTCTTGAGCGCTACTGTATGAAGACCTGGGGATGCTCGTGAAATTCTGGAGAAAGTCCAATGAATCATTGACTCTTCTTCTCATGACGGCCAATTTTCCGTACCTAGGCTCTGCACTGGCCGCAGACGCTGACTGCAAAGCCGACTCAACATCTAGAATAGACGCTACGTGAGAAAAATCGCGTTGAGTGAAAGGCGTCTTCTGCGACAAGAAAATGCTGATTCGTCTGAAGAATAAGGTTTATTCTCAGTCGTGGAGACGGTCACCCTTCATTGAAACGAAGCGAAGATAACGGCAGACAAAACGAGATCGGAGCGGATAAACGTGAAGATGCTACCATGAAATATGGAGCTTACGCGACTGACTGCAAAACAACCGGGACAAGGTTATGATTCAACCAATCGCCATTTCCCTTGTCTCGACCCGCCTTGTCTGGTATAGTGATGCTTCACGAAGACCTCCTGACACTTTGTCTGAATCAGCTGATGACATTACCTTCATCGGCCTTCATCGGCGCACGTTGAAGAGGCACCAAAATTGCGTTGGCTGCCCAAGAAGAAGCTCTAGGAGAGGCTTTGGAGTTAAAGCAAGATGTTACGATAAGCGGAGTTTGAGTGCCATCTGCCGTACCTAGGTCCGCACCCTCCGCCGTGCTGTGCTCTCCATTTTGAAAGAGGATTCAATGTTACGCGGCCAGAGTCCTTACTACGCCACTCTCAATTCGCAAATGCGACCCCGGGTTTGAATACATATTGCTAGCGTAGAGGTGAACCTGTTGGAAAATACTTCTATGTCCATCATTATTGAAGATGTTGTCGCCGTCATACACAAGTACTCTGTTTTGTTGATGTTGAGTCCGAGTCCATGGCCCACAAACTGTCTCATTCAGCAACTGGCATGTCTTTCCGACTTGAACTTGGACTGGTCCACTATATAGAAGTTCGTCATCGGCATACACAATAGTCGTGGGAGTCTTCACCGATATTCCTCACATATAAAGGAGGAAGAGAATGTTGACAGGAGGGCTGAAACAATGGCAGAGAATTGTCGCGTGTCATTCAAAGCTGTTTGAAAGGCTGTAGAAATGGGGATAGGCGCAACTCCAAGGAGTGCTTCTGGTACTTGCAATTGTCGGAGAGCTTCCCATCTGAGTTGACGAGACACTCGTTCCAGACTTTCTCCAGGTTTAGAAAGAAGAAAAGCCACATTCAGCTATATATTTCTTCAGCCTTTTCCGCCACACGCGAGCTACGTAGATGACATGAGTGATTTCGTGCTCAGGTTGAAATCCGCACTGCATCCGGCTGATCTTAAACAGTTTTATAGAGGCTCGGAAGAAGTTCCTGGTTTAAGATGCCTGTCTGATTTCGTCTGTGCCCATTGGGGCCAACCCACACGAGTTGATCTGCTATATGATCACCACTCAGGTGTTCAAGGTGTCTGTTGACAGGGGAGCTTCCTTGGGAAGTTGTTGGAGTGTTTAGCAAAGAAGTTCTCGTGAACTAATCAGTAATCACAAAAATCAAGACGAGTTCAGTCTTCATCTTCCGTCCTTTTCCTCTCGACCGCGATGGCTGAACAGCTCCGCTACTGCCGTCGATGAATGGTGATTCTATGCTAACCAAATGAAGAAATATCAATGGCTGGATCGGTTAGAACAAGCTGGAAAGCTATCAAATTATGATGAAGGTTCTGCTTCCAGGCTGGTGAACTGTTCGCGAATCAACAACCACTAGGGATTCTCCCTAAGTGCAGCAGTGTATCAAACCGGGTAGTCAACGACTAAGACTGGTGAATAAGCTCCGACTAATACGTCCAAAACTTCACAAAAAGTATCCGCTCCACGACAATCGAGCCCACGTGTTTTGAAAATGTCGTGCCTTTGGTATCAGAGCTTAGTTGAAGATCCAGGAGGGGGTTCCACTAGATGCACTATAAGGCAGTGATCAGTACTTACGTATTACGTGAGCCGTTTACACCTCTAGTTTAATAATCGTTTTGCGGAGAAAAAGCGTGGTTCCCAGAGGCACCTGAATCTGACCTCACTGCCTCGTTCAGCTTACGACCGCCAGACTTCTGAGAGTAACTATTTCGTTTTCGTTAGCGTGATTATAGTGGTGCTAAAGTGGTGATAGATATTGCTTGTTATTGAATATAGTTGACACGAAAACATTTCAGAAACCGAATTGGCTTTGAGACACCCTGATATCTTGTTTTAGAGCATGCCGCAGGAGTGTTCTGTTCTTGTTGGATATTGGGGCATAAGTAACGAAAACTACAGCTTAAAAGTACTACTGGGGGTACTTATTTAAATGTACTTCTTGCATGACACATCTTAACGCTTACCTTCTTTTCTGTGCACAGAACCTATACAGAAATTTTTTGCACATGAACAGTGCGTTATGTACCGTGCGCGGCTTAAAGCAGATTGTCGGTTAATAGCAAGCAGTGCGCAATGGGTCAACGACGTCACTGTGAGTTCCGTAGGAAACTTCACGTTTGTTCGCCACAGGGACGATATTTTCAGCATTTACATATATCATTACTCTTTCGTTATATAATACTTCGACGAAGTCGTTTATATTCAGGCAACGGGTATCATTTTTCCAACGAGTCGACGATCTACTGTAGATGAGTTGTCAAACCACAGTCGTGAGTTTATTAAGAAAATAGAGGTGTTTCTAAAAGTCCTCCCGCCATAATCTTTATCAGATTTTCATGAAAGCAATCGCTGCAGCCTCAATACATGATACTGTTCTTATTTCTAGGAAATTAGATTAATTCGCAGAGTGGTAGATCATAATTACGTTCATTGTCGTTGGAAATATTCATAAAGCTAGATTCGACTATCTAGTTTTACACTATCCACCTTTGACCTTTGAGAGGCGAGGGACGTGCCTTGTCAAAGCTTAGCTTGGGCTTTGTTGTCCGACGGGGGGATATTTTTTGCTAAAAAAAGAATCTGTTAAAACAAAACGTACCAAAACTTTCGGCAGCTAACAAAACAATGCATGTCGACTGTTGTTAAGTCCTTTAATCCTCCCAAGAAAATAAGATAACAAAACAAACCATGTCAACAACTGCAACGAGCTTCCTTGTGTAGCGGGAGCTACATTTCTGCGTCAATTTTCTAAGATTTTTGTGTTTTTTTTCTGTTTTATTGATTGTCCGAATTCTTCAGCACTGTTGGCTGTCTGAAAATTCAGGCATAGTCATAGCTTTTACAATCTACATCTTTCTTTTACGAGCTACAATCACTGTCTTTGAAGAAAAGTATTCCGGTATTCCGAAAAGTATTCCGTGTTCCAATCGTCCATTTGCGCGTTTCTTTCAGTAATCCCATTGCACTGTGCTGTATTATTTTCTTCCATGTGTGTACCAAATTTCATCGACCTAAGTTAGTAGGAGTGAAAAATCATGCAAAAGTTACTCCCGTTCTTAAGTTTTGCACATCATTGTATTTAAAAGCTGTTCTCCTTTGCTGTATCTTGTGACTTTCAAATTCTGCCACTAGTCGCTGCGCTTGCCATCTTTCCCTAATTTCCGTTTTCCGAATACGATCTCTTCTTTCCGCCCTCCCCCTCCCTCCTAATTGAAGTTGGCACAAGGGCTGTCCAGACCCTGTAAAGTACTTAGTATCCTAGATTCGAGAGAACGAGTATTCAGATTCTCACAGTCTTGTTATTTTGTTTCTTCATTTATTTCTTATAACGTAAGCAAAGCGGTACGTGTGGAAGCCCACTACCAAATTAGAGCCTTCATGAAAGGGAAAAATCATAGAATACGTGTTCCTTGCAGCAGGGATGAGCTCTTATTGTAAACAAAACAGCGTGACTTCAACATGATATGGCGGTTGATAATCGCTTAGAAAACTTTACTGCCGAATTATGTCCTTAGATGCATCCTTGGAGTGATGGTCGATTTTTAGATACGGAAGAACCGGTGAACCTTCTTGAATGGCTCGGTACGCGGGTTTTAGCACGTGTCTCTGGAGGCGGATACCAACCAGGTTCGATCAAGAATGTTCATGATAACAAGGACGTGGTTGTACAGGTTAGAGGTTAGAACGCTAAACTTCCGAAAATTACACATATCACTTTTTGTTGGATGCCTCTTACCACGATAAGGGGTTTCAGTTGTTGGAAATTATCGTATGTATAGTTTTTGTTGTTCAAGGTGGGTGAAAAATACGGTGACGGGGGCGCTTTTAAACCATCTTATATGCTGTTAAGAGATACCACTGCGTGTCCCGGCAGCATAAACTGCTAGCACACAAAAAAAAGATTGTGCAAAGCTTGTGCAATAGACCCCTAATCCATGAATTCAAGCTAGTAGCAACCAAACTCTTCCTTCATACAGATCGCTCTGCGTGGGGTGTGCTGAAGACGATGTGCTGCTCTTATCATCACTGGAACATCGTCGAATTTGAGAAAACTCTAGTTTAAGGTCGACGCCGTTCATTCACGCAATCACGTTCTCACGCTTACGTATCAACGCAGACAGCTGGCACTTTGAGAAGTACTCTTATATTCTGTTCGGCAAATTACCACGATTATATTATGGTGCCTGCATGTTACTTTCTAGCCAAATTGATTTTCCATGATCACTTTCTCTTCGTTTTTCTCGCACTCTTCCCAATTACGTGAACCTGGAATTCGAAGCGGAAACAAAAGCTAAACACGCAGTAAACAGAAAAAATTGGAACAAAAAATCTGAAAAGCGGAGAAAATGTTAGTCAACGTCTACTAGTCGTATACATTGAGAGGTGGAGAAATTCTAAGAAAAACTCAAACAAAACAAAAACGCATCTGCTCAGCGGCAAGTGGAAAAACAAATTGACGTCCCGACGACTGTACGCGTTGTGGCTTTCTTGACCGCATGGGACCGATGCAGCTTCGCGAGTGCGGTCGCCTCAGTCATGCACGTATACCTATTATGTATACATACGCGATGAATCCACGTTTTCAGAGGCCTGCTAAAGCATAATTGTAGAATTTCCATCAAATGGACAAATACTGGCACTGAAACAAAATTCACCAATTTTCGCCGAAATGAATCTAAAGCGTCTTTGCTCTGAATGCTTCAATGTAAGCTTGTATACTGTCACCAGAAAATTCTGCAGTCACCACGTTTTTATTCACATGTTTGTGGAAATGAATAATAAACGGATAGCAAATTGTTCGAGGGTAACTATAGTTCTGGCCACGCTATTCTATGCCTTGTGGAGTTGTGATTAATAGTGCCGTGGTTGTGGGTATGATAGCACTAAGAGCGAAATTGAATCCAAATTCGATGATTACTGATATGCTGAATTTTGCGTAGTTAGAAATGTAGTTATATGTCATCTGCTTTTATGACCACCTTGACTGTGAATAGCTTGTCTTCAGTGAAAAAGATGCGCAATACAGATTGAAACAACATCTGCGTCCAGCGATGCTTTCCCTTCTTTTCAGCCGCATCATTTGAGAGCTAAGCTTTTCCACGCTCAAGTGCCTTCGTAACGCTATGTCTTCTGGCGATTACATGTTAACAATAGCTAACGCAGGATGCAAACAATGGATTGAATGTTTTGGAATTTAGCGCAGCTTGGCGCTACTTTTCTAAGTTTGTTATTGCTAACAGTATTAGATTCTCTACACATCTAGGCCAGGCATAGTTCCTAGTACCTAGTTCAATGAGCTTTGTTATGGAGTTTATTGCAAGGTTCTGGCAGTCCTGATTCGCTTTGCAATGTAACACCACCAGGCACCTTGACAAAGGAAACGAGTTATCTTCCATGAAAATGAAGGCTCCAACAACTCAAATTAATCAATTCACTTAGTTACACCAAAAAATGATTACCGAATTCAAAGAACCATTTCCGTGAAAGTTACACCCAGAACCCTGTCGGTTTATTGTGTTGTTTCTTCTGTGCCATACAGGTTGTTATGGTGAACACGATTATTGGTCAACGTTTCGACAATTCGTCGTCTTCAAGACCTGAAACTGGTTCGAAGTCCTAGCTCTGTAGCTCACCCGGTAGGGCGCCTAATCTTACTGAGTTCCCGGAAAAGCGAAACAGTACAAAATAAACGATTCCAGTGAGCGAACTAACCTGTGGCGAGTCCACCAGTATTTGCAGCCTCCTCCTCAGTGAGCGAATAAAATGAGACACCAGGACAGCAAGCGTCCTACGTGTCGTATGTGGTGATCTCACAGTCCACATAAAGGAATGAAAAGCAACAATTCATTGGTAATGGCCATGCATTCATTACGGTTGTTCAGTCTTGGATTTTTCACGCGGATATAAAACGCCTCTAACATTTTTCTAACCGATGTCGTTTTCGTAGGCTAGAATTTTGCATTTGATTTCAAAATCGTTACCCTGATGTCCCTCTACTCGGTGCTTGCCAAGTGGAGTAAGCAGATTTCCGCGCCTTTTTCCTGCCATATGTTCTTTAATGCGCATGCCTAGCATCCTGCCCGTCTCTCCAATATAAAGTTCGTCACAGGTTGAACATTGAAGTTGGTATACTATCCCTCGTTGCGCACAGTCTCCTTGCCTTCCATATGGGCAAACAACGCAGTGATTCGTGGTGCACGCGCGGTCATAGGAGCCTGTTGCGGATGCTGACGCTTAAGATTGTTTAACTTCAAAACAGATAGTATACGGTACTCTGTTTTACCGCGATCTGAGACCGCGCTATAGTTTCGTAGAGCATCGAGTACCTTCAGAGTTGTGCGTAACTGCGTGATTATGAAGGATTCCAGAAGAATTTTCGTCTGAGCAACAGCATTCCATATGAGACGTTCTGATTGGTCCCGAAATCTGTCTGCTTGGACTTCCATAGCTGTAACCAAGGAGAATCATGTCGCGCGGTCGCGCAGCATCCTCCTTTCAGCCCTCCTCAGGGGAAGGAAGGTTGCTGGATGCTATGCAGCAAGGGCAACTGTTGCAGCCGGTATTATTAGTCAATTAGTGACCTTGACCTGTAATTAAACAGGTTGGGCAAAAATCCGGTGACAAGATGTATTGGTCATAAAAAACCAGTATGGTCGAAAAACACCAAATTAACCGCACCATCGTAATGATGGAAGGTCATGGGAAGGGAAACAATGTCACTCCTCCGAGTGGCCGCCATTACTCATGAATTCGGTCACACCATACAAATTGCCGCGTGGTTTGTTGCGCAATTTGCCGGCTGCCAGCACAACTGGACCGAACGGCCGCTCCCGACCCTCTTCCCGCCCCCACCTCCCTCCCCCATCATGGCTCTGTAGAAGGCTTCGCCGGTGGCGTAGACGCTGGCGCGCGCTGGTGTAAATAAAAGCAACGTCACGTCGGCAGCGAGGGAATGAGAAAACCACAGCGCTGCAAGCAGTACTTCAATGACTGCGATTATTTATCGTGCTCTAACTTCATTGAATGAAAATCGGTAGTAAGTAAGGAACCTATTGTAATCAACTGCAACATGAGTACTTCTCAGGGGTTACCTATGAAGGAGTAGGTCTCGTCCACATTTCTAAAGGATTTTGTCAATTCCTGATGCAAAAATGTTATTCGTGTGTAATACCGTAGCACTGCATCCGGCACTACTGAATGCAGAGGTGCACGGGACGGTAAGATGAGCGATTCAACTACTAATCGAGGGCACTGGCAACGGTGTCCAGTGCTCATCGTGTCGTCACCACTACTGCAGCTGCCACGTCACTGTGCCTCCATCTCAACATACGCTCGCGTCCGCTTCCAATGAGCTTTTCTTTACCCCGCCCCGTGAAACAAGCGCAACAATTTTGCTGCCAAAGCGCAATCATATGTAGGTTGATTCGAAGTGTTTCAGTATTTTCCATTCCTCCATTCCATTTTATTTCTATCACAGGTGCGATGGTTCTGCAACACCATAAACTGAGTTGTCACTTTTTTGAGACACTCAGTGAGGGATGAATGTTATTGCTATCCACATTACTTTTGATCTTGTGCGTTTTATGTTTGATCGTGGTCGAAAAAAAACTTTTCAGTTCGATGACGGGCAGGAGCTGCGATACGACGATGTGATGAGCGAGTCCAACTCAAATCTGATTATAGCCGATCAGGCCCCAAGTCCTTCACTGGTGTGTTTTCAACTTGCTTCAAGGAATAGTATCAAAGGAATCCTTCACGGAAAAGTCATGATTCAATTCCAGCCATAATTCACTAGCTTGAGTCCCATCATCCACGATAAGAATGAAAAGAACCGAAAAATTGCATTCGCTTTGGTAAAAAATTCAAAAAAGGGCTGCTACGCGTTCAAGTTACCGCCTCGCATCTGTATCAAATTCTGGCGACGGAATGCTTCCACATGGTTCTTAGGGTGCTGTCACTAAACTCTTTCTGGCCTTTTGACTTATTGCATTAACATCTCACACATCTACTGCACCCTATTCTATCTATCAATTTGTCTCTACTCTCCAAAATCACACGCCTTATCCCGATTTATTCATTGCGCCGCGGGATACCTAGCCGCCCCAAAGTGGACTTGTCTCCATGTCCCGCTTTTGGCTCGGCGCCTTTTACCTTCGATTGTCCATAGAATAGATTTTCGTGAGTTGGTTTCTCTTCGGAAACCGAACCTTCATGCGTGAAATTCTGTGTTTTGCATTTAGTGATCACAACTGTTGCATTCATGTTTAGAAAGATTGCAAGAATTTCCCGCGAGGGATTCCTTTAACCACATGCGCAACTCACTGCCGATGGGTAGTTTATCGGACAGTGTGGCAGTAATGAAGAGAGACTTCACAATTTATGTGATAATGATCATTGGTACATATACTGACGCTAACCGGAGCCAAGTTTGTAGAAAATGATGCGTTTCGCATCCAGTAAAGAATGCCTCGCATTTGCGAGGAAACGTTAATAAGGTGCGGAAACTTTGTGGATAAATGCAAAGCAACTCACTAAAGGCGAAGCCATAGAGGTCGTCACGGCACCTAAACATAACTATTATATATTAGTCGCGTAGAAACGGCAGTGAATTAGAAAAAGACAAATAGCAAAAGCAACATGAACAAAAAGTGGCGTACTAAAAAGGAAAAAAATACTCTTGATCTAAAATTGAGAAAGAATTGATGTGAAACGCCCATTGTCACCAGGCAACTATCACTGATTAGTTATATCTGAAAATCTTAGCAATTCGATGTTGAGATACCACAACTACACATGAACGCTTCTACTGCGAAACAATGTAAAGAAGTAGTTTTGGTCAAGAAAATAAGCATGCTTTCGATGATCACCTCACGTCTCTAGCTAAAAATTACTGCCTCCTCTCCGGAAAGTCAGTTATAGATATGACCTTCGTCGGATGTCCCCCAAGAGGTCCGTTGCGCTGCGAATGAAGAAATGCAGATGCGGCAAAGGACGGGTCGCAGCGCCCTGCTTCACAGACCGACAAGGGTGGTAAATTCTTAAGTGTTGTATATCATGCCTTCTGAGGCGCTTCCCAGTTTTTCTGAGGTTTCGAACTTCTCCGCGTTTTATGTAGATCTCCCCTCCCCCACTTTTTTTAAATTTGTACAACTCGAACTTCCTTCCCCGCACCGCTATCCCAGTTTTACGTTGGCCAGCTCTCCCAAGCCTTCCTTCTAGAACGGCACCTCGTCCCTGCGTTGCCCGGAAATGTATGCATCTTGAGAAGCCTTCCTGACCCGCCAAAAAGGCTTTCAAGTTTCCTAAAGCAGTTGCAATACTTTTGCAAATCTTTCGTAGAACGGTTTTCGAGTCTTTCTTAGTAATATTTTAGAGCCTCTCATTGTTTTTACGCATTTATGTTATGTTTGTGCATGTAATAAACAAATATTTTCAATATTCTTATTTAATTAATGATTTGATCTGCATCCTTAAGAGGTCATTTCGCAGTCATCTGCGGAGTTTTGGCACCTGATTAATGTTTTCTAACACCCAGGGTGCGAAGATTTGGCTCGTACCATTATTAACAGAAAGTCAGAAGTGTAAAGGTAGCTCTGAACGATAAACAGCATTATACTCTGATTCATCTTATAGTGTTTGACATGATGTATCAATTCAGTTCTCTTGTGTATTATGAAATGTTAGTGTAATTAGTTAGTGAAAGAGTGACAGTTTGGTGTGTACGAAGCAACCGTAATGCAGAGTTGGCACATTAACACGTTGACGACAACGCGCGTTTAGGCTTCTTTGACCGCGTGGGACCGGCGCGATTTTGCGAGCGCCGCCGCCTCAGGTCCATCAGGCATGGTAAATGGAATATTGCATGATAAATGAATAAAACATGATTGATACAAAGTTAGATTAGTCTCTTCCAGTGCGTAGAAGCGCCCCAGAGATATAGTAGTGAAATTTTGGTTGAAAGTCGGATGAAATAATAGTGAAAAAGCAAAATTTGTCAGAATAAGCTGCAATGAACGTTAAAAGCAATTTTGCATCGATTATTGCAATCCAAGCACATATCTTGTCATACTTGAGGTTCCGTATTGACTTACACTACCCTTTAAATATTCACAATCATGAAAAGAAAATGTAGACAAAAAATCAACCGGGTTGACGATTTCGTTCGGTTCAGAGAACCTCCCCTAATTTGAAGCACACGTGACCGCTCTAAGAGCGACTTTGTTTCTATCTATGTTAAGGTATTCTCTATGGAATGAAGAAGCAAGAAACCTAAAAATGAATCATGTGTGCGAGAAAAAAATGAATGTACTGGGTGCAGGACACATACGTCCCGCATTGTCCGTTGTGGTCTGCAAAGTGCGGGACGTATGTGTCCTGCGCTGTCGTCAACGTGTTAATCGCCGTGCACGCGAAGGTGGCACAAGGGTGATCAAATTGCTGATGTTCTCCTTAATAGCAGGGATCGCAAAAGAATTGATGTATTAGTTGGCTAAATTGAAACGAAAGTGCGAAGATGAATGTCAGCCAGGGAAAAATGTAAAGCGATACACAGAAAACTCGGAACAGTCATGAGCTCACCCACAAATAACTGAGTGGAGACCCATCGCACACGCTAGAAAAGAAAACAACGGCGGGAACGCTTCCCTAGTTTTCGGACAATAACATCTCACACTTCTACTTCATCATCTATCGATTGTTTTGCCGTTGTTCTCCTTTTGACGGCGCGCAACATACCTTTGACTGCCCACCGAACGTGGTTTTGTTAGTTTGTTTCACTTCTGAAACCAAATCCCCGTGCGCGAAATTTTGTGTGTTGTCTCTAGTGATCAAGTGGCACACTCATGTCGTGAAGGAATGCAAGAAATTTCTGGGAAGGATTTCTTTAACACGTTACTCCCGTTGACGACATCACGCGTTTTGGGTTTCTGCGCCGCGTGGGACCTGAGCAACTTTGCGAGCGCTCTCGCCTCAGATCAAATTCATGGATATTGAGCTGTAAATACGCAATACTTAGACGCAACCAAGTGCTTCCAATAATTTTCGATGTGTCTAACCTATCGGGAGTAACAGTAGTGGAAGTTAGACCAAAATGACGCGTAATGGCTACGAGAAGACAAATTTTACTCTCTTCCGCTTTAGTGGTTTCAAAATTCTTTTGGACGCGTTTGTTCCGTAAAAACAGATATATTGCCACACGACCAGGTTTATATTCATTTCTATTATTCTTTCTCAGGGACATCTTCGCCTTAATGAATAGAAAACGAGCAATGAACTGAACAGATATTTCCGTCAGGTCCGCATAACCTCTGCTTAACTGAAGGGTATTTGGTCATTCTGTAAGCCATGTGGTCCTTGGTTATGTTGGTATATGGCCTGTAAAATGAACACAAAAAGCTTGGGAAGAAATCGAGCATGTGCTTAAAAAATATGTAGCGAGTGTGGCATACATACATAGTTGCCACAATGTCCGATGAGGTGCAATAATGGCGGCATACATAGTAGCCGCGCTGTCGTGAAGGTGTTAAAGCTTCATTTACTTATGAGTTCGACCGAGGCAGAATGGCGAGATGCAGCGCTGCGAGGAGAGGGAATTCGCGAAAGGCAGCAGCGAGCGCAAGGCAAAAGTATGGAATGCCACAGGTGCAAAATAGCACAATTCTAAGCTTATTACAGGTCAAAAGCAAAACTATGGTCTGTGTGCGGCTACCCGCTGACCAGGGCATCTACCGGACCGGGGAGCTCATCTCGATTTCGAACACCCCAACGAAATATCAGGTATATCGTTTTGTATCAATGATTCAAAAGCATCGACAGATTTGGTTTCACTCAGAAACAGCAGTATTTACCGTTTCCGTTTCTCTGGATGATTCCCATCTGACAAGAATCATCTACAGGCTGCAACTTATTTTTTAACGTAATCGTTTTCTCCTGTCCATTGGGTCACAGTCGTGAAGGTGCTTGACACATCATTCATTGGAATTTTTGACTTGATTAATTTTCCTTTTTATTGCCACAAACATGCAAATAGAAGGAGTGAAGACAAAACGCTATGAATGCAACTAGGAGCGATTAAATCAAAATAGTCGAGTTGAAAATGCTTTTAACTTTCACTGTGGGAGAAGTGAATGAGTGTTCCATTTTCATTACTGTTACTCGTCGCTTTAAAGCAACAGTTCAGGGAGGGTCCGAAAATTTCAATGCCACCACTACTGAGGGATACAGACCTCTAGTGCAAACATATGCGTGCAAATAATAAACGAACTTACCTCAGAAACTCAAAAACAGGGTGGAAAGTCCCTCAACATGGGTGTTCTTGGGGATTTCCCCAATCCCGCCCCCTTGCCGGCCGTCACTGGACGCGTCGGCAATCGTGCTCGTTTTGGGACCACAGGGAAAATTGATTGAAAAATGGAGCGCGTTTACAGTGGGCACGTTCGACAACTCGTCCAACGTGCGTCTTTATCCATTGAGGGAGAGTACCTGTCTAAGACCCTCCCCGACGTTTTTTTTTCCAGTTTTTCATACATTAATCGTCTGGTTTTCATCTACAACTTCATTATTGGTGGTTTTTTCCCGCGAAACCGTTCCTGAACTGTTGCTTTAATCAAAACACTACTATTATATGCTTAGAAACACTGCAGAAAGCTTCACAAGATTGCTGGATGTGAACAAAACTCTAGGGCGAAAGTTTTGTTCACAACCCAGCATTCTTGTGAAACATTCGCAAGGCAAATTGCGGCCAAAAAACAGCAGTTAATAAACAAAAACAAATCAAAATTCATCGCTGAAAGCATTTGGTGACATTCATTTACAGTACAAAATCCACGCATTTGAAGCTACGCGACGGCGCTCTCAAAATTGCTTCCCTCCCACGCGACCAAAAAGTGTAGAAGGGGCTCCGCCGTGAATATGTTGAATACGACAAGGGTGGCAAAAAGGAATTCAACAATAAAACATAAACAGAGAGCGTGCTTGAATCCTCTGAAAGTGATGTTTTCCTCGGCCAATCTTTTGAAGGAGTTCAGAGACAGGGGCATGTGTTGGAACGGATTAGTCTATTCACAAAAGAGATTATCTTTATGGAGAAAAATTGAGAGCGGACGTGAATTCATGCTCATGGAAATGCTATCTCAAGATTTCTAAGTTTGTTCAAAGGCAAAACTAGGAAAGGAAATAGGAGCCACATTCGACATCATCGTGAATAAACCCACAACGCTTCTCAGCAAGCGTATGTATTTCTTTTTGAGCGCTTCAAACTGTAGTATCAGATTCAAGAATGCATCAAATTACTGATCCACCTAATAGTCTTTTTTGGAATCCAACACTTCGGAGCTTATGCAGAAAAAATGGTCGGGCAAAAGCCTTTGCGAAATGAAATAGACTACGTGAACGTCCTTCGATCCAATGCGGTGGACCACTAGTTCAAGGAATCAAGCAAAGAGTTCAGCTGGTCGCGTCTCAAAGAAGCTATGTTGTGAGGAGGAGATAATATTGATGCGCCCTAGATGGACCATAAGCTGGCTTATTCTTTAAAATGCCCCCGCAAACATAGAACTAACACTAAACGGTCGATAATTCATAGAGGTCGCAGGGTGTTTTTTAGGCATCGGCATGCAAACAACACTAGCGAATCCCAACGAAAGAAACTTATCCCTCTATATGATATGGGTTGATAATATGCTTGAGCGAGTAAAGTTTGTGCCCAAGGATCATTTTGATGAATCTAAAGGGTTTCAAATCGGTAGTGATAGAGAGATTCTAAAGGTTGCAGCATAAGACGTATATGCATCCACTTGAAGACGGTTCACACAGACTGATAGTGAGCAGCACCATCATAACAGCTGACGAAAGAACTTTCTGATCTTTCGTGTGGCGTAAAAACGAAAAATAACGTTCCTCAAAACAATATAACTGGTCGATAATTCCCCGAGGTCGCAAGTTGCTTTTTCAGGCATCGGCATCACTAGCGAATGCCCCAGCGGAAGGAACTTATCCCTTCCAATTCGTTTAATTCAGTGCGACTTTCTGAAGAAAAGGCATCCTTGTACTGCAATACAGGAAGCTTGAAAGAATTTTTTCATCTTAAAAATGACGAGCTTGACCACAAGGATGGCTAGGAGTCGGAATACAATACCTGTAATAGAGGCAGTAATCACCAGAGGTTAACATTGTCACCAGAGTTTCTTCTTCGTAACAAGAAAATTTTGCTGACGTTCAATTATCGCAAAATCTTAGCAAACTGCGTAGTGGTCACACTTGACATCTTTAAGATTGGAACTCTTCCAAACTATTTGCTTTACCTAGCACTCAAAAGTCTTCGGCTAATTGCTTTTTTCGGTTCTTCTGCTGGTTTGGATTAATTCAAATTTTAATATTCCAAGTTCTCTCATCTAGAAATCTCGGCTCCCAGCTTAAGAATTACGAGGCGGAAGTACAACTCAATTTTAATGTTTTTTGAAGGCATATCCCTCCCCCTGAGCTATTCATATTTGGAAGGGAAGACAAAAAATGAAATAGTCGTGACCTTCAATACCACATCAATCATACTTTTCTTGAGGCACCTGAGACCATCAAAGACTTAGACTTCATCCTCGATTCTGAGCCGTTTCGAAGAACATTTGAAGAGAATCCTGGCTAAACCAGAACAGAGAGTTTTTCTATTGTTTAAATCGCTCAAAACTAACATCCCACTCTGCTTGTGAAGGCCTACAAAATCTACGTGCGCTTAGTACTTGAATATGGCACCTGCATATTTTTCCGCTGCCCAAATCATTTTTATGCAAACTGTAAAAGATACAAAATAACTTCACGAGAAAGCTATTCATAAGATCTCTTGGATTCACTTATCGAAGCATCCCTGCAGTAGTCAGAAGTAAGATGCTCAATTTAGATCCACTGCACCTGAGGCTGAGGAGCAATGACATTCCAATGGTTTTCAGAATTCTCATTGAGCTTCTCCATATTAAAAGTCATGCATTTTACCAGTTAGTGCCGTTTAGGACCAGAGGCGGTAATCTTAAGCTCTCTTTTCGTCGACCTCTCTCTTCAGTCGGTCGAGCATTTTTCACGTTCCGTGCTGGCACCGAGTGCCGTGCTAGTAGCAGAGAATGAGCAAGGATGTGCAAATACCGACTACACTAGCTGATTTCAAAACGGTTTCTCGTTACCTACATATGATTATTTAATCTGTTTTTACTAATCCACCTTAGGTTCCCTGCTTTTTTTATGCGTTGTGTTTGTTTTCGCTTCATTTGTTTCTTTACACGTCATTACTTTCAAGTTACATAAGTAAGGCATGTAATATTTGAAATTCGAAACAAGTGAAGAATGGTAAAATCACTTTAGTGAAATTCCCACGCATGACCAAATTCGAAGGAGATTTCAACTTTTGAGGAAAGCTTGGGATTTAATACAACGGTCGACCGCTTGGTAAATGAATTAGCCAGATTCATTACTTTGTTGATAAACTTCTAAACTCACTGAAACATGGCAGGGCCTAAATAGGGAATCAGTAAATGAATCCTCTGCATACTGAGACAACTTCGTTTCTCTTCAAATTTGACGAGCTTACTGGCTCTTGTTTGTGCCGAAAATTTTCTCACGCTTTCTCATAATGCTCTGATGATGCTCTTGAGATGGGCCTGAATTGGTCCCTGCATTGAAAGCAGGTCATCTTGTCGAAACCATTCTTGCAAACGAGGTCATGATTTGGATCAATCTATTGCCAGAAGACATAGTCGGTAAGGTGTAGGTGTCATACGAGTTAAGACACAACACGCTCCAAAAAGGTCTACCTACTACGTTTGCCTTCATCAGCTCGTGAATCCTGCGAAGTTGTTTGACTGCTAGCTTTCACGAAATGCAGATGGTCTGCACACTCTGAACTGGGATTCCCGCAAGGCTCCAACGCCATATGGTGCAACAGAGAACTTTTGGGATGTTCGACTGCAACGGCAATCGGCGTGTGGGGTGTCTTGACGAAAAACATTCCAATCCGAAGTATCATCTGTTTTCCGTGAAACAAGGTGAGGCTCTTTTATGGTGGTCCGTAAAAGAGATGGAACATAGGGGGAAAGTTGTATTGGCAGACACTGAATTCGTTATTTATTAAGGTTGAGCAAATGTTATCCGCCTTTTTTCAGGCTAGTGGCTCTTTGATTTCTTGCTGATTATTTTCGAAGATCATGATGCGGTCTGAGAGCGCGCAATCGCTCTACATTTTCATTTACAGCCTTGTGTATTTACTTTACGCTGCTTACACACCAGCAAAAAAGATTGCCGCTGCTACCTGAGGGCAACTTGAGCTAGAAACGATTGCTTCTGTATCTGCTCGTAGAATCCATGAAGCCTGAAGTGAAGGCACGGCTGCAGAAAGGGTTGTTCGAGTTTGCTGATGACGCATTTGATCTTGTTTTTGTTTGGTTTTGTTAACAAACTTATGGGTGACACGAAAATGGCGGATAATTTTTGCTCAACCTAATATTTCCATACTCAGGCGCTTTTAACGTCAACGACTCTAGACGATTATGAACGAGCTATTGAATCTGCTAAGAATAAGTGTTATTCACCAAGCGTTTGATTGTTCTATTGAATTGAAGCCTTTATCAAAAACTTGAAATTCAATTGTAAGTTGCTCATGCGTGAGAATTTTCATTGATATCGCTTTGACAGTAGTGCAGTGTTTCAGTGAAAGGTTTAAATGTTAAAACATATTGAATTTTGAACTGATTCGATCCTGCAAGAACAGTCGCTCTCGAAAAGGCAAGTGACCG